ATATCTGTGCAAGAAGGATAAAATCTAAGAGAAGAAACAAAGAGAGAAGAGAAAATATTTGAGAGAGAGCGCATGTTTTGAGTGTGAGCATTATAAGTTCTGAGAGCAAGAAGATGAAATTCTTTTCTCAAATTGAAATGATGTGCTCTTGCATTATGGCAGGATAATTCTCCCATATCTATGTGCCACTAAGATACTCTAATTAGAGAGCAGTAGTGAAACTTCCATATTGTGTTTTCATGGCCTAGTTTACCTGACAGGATGTTTACATAAATCTGTTTTTAGGCTGTGCACAGATAAGATTTTTTATGGAGGAACAGCTCTACCGTATATAAAATAAATACATAAATAAATAAATGCTCAATAAATAAATAAATAAGCATTCAATTAATTGCCTCCAAAAATACAATGAATAAATATGTAGGTAGAAATTAAATTAAATGGTGAGACATATATATGTATCTCTTAATTAGCTTCTTTATTTTTTCACCTTCTTTTGTAAACAGTTTTGTTTGTTACTTGAATCAACTGTTTAATTGAGGTCTTTTGTAGGGTTTTGTTTTCCCTAGAGATGTCCATTGAATGCAAACTCATAGCCATGTCTCGGTGTGTAGAACACTACACAGTACCTTTAATTTGGTTCTAATAACAGCAGATTGTTTACTAGTTTGTCTACTAGTAATTACTTTAGTTTTTATTTTAATATGCTGATCATAAAGCAATGTTTACACTGTGATATGTCATTGGCTGATCTTTAATAAATATTTTAACTAGTGTGTCAGACTCATTTTGAATTGACATTAGGTTGGTACAACGTTAAGTAGCTTCTGATGTAGTTAAGCTACTTTTAACACATTAGTGTAACTTAGCTTGCTATAATTCTTTAGGTGGTAGCTGTTGTGTAGTGAAGCTTAATTTATTGTTGAGTAGCTGATAGCTTAGCTCACTATACTGGACAAGTAGCTTGCCCAACACTGCAAATAAAATCAAATGTAATGATAGAAACCTTAGTCAGTTAAATAACCTGCTGCTGTCATTCTGCACATCTCTGATGTTGCTGCTATTTTCAAATATCTATTACTGTAAAAATGTCCATAGCTGCATATTGGTTATTTATTCTCCAGTTTTATATTGTTAAAACACTTTACAGTATTTTATTGTTCATATTCTAACTCTTCCGTATTATGTTATTCTTATACATTTTTCTAAGGTCCACATTTGTGTGACTATTTTCAATTATCTTTCTGCTGCTGTAAATCTGCCCATTGTGGGACAATAAAGGGATTTTCTATTCTATTCTATTCTATAAAAGGGGTAGAAAGATATAAGTAAATCTAAACAATGTATGTATAAAAATATATCTGCAAAATCTCTAATATTCAACAACAAAAAATACTTAGTTAAGCATATTATGCAAAACAACAATAAAAAAATTAAACTATCAGATTTATAGTTCCCACCCAGCAGATATATTAGAATCTGTCCTTAAATTCCAGCCAAACCCATTTACACAGTAACAGATAAAAACCTTCAGATAAATCAAACATTACCGCCACATATCTGACTCAATAACCATTAAAACAACTGTTTTCATTCATTTCAGACGGAACTATTCACTGACTGGATTATATTAAACAGAACTTCCAATTTTCCCCACTGTTCTGCGCCAAGTAACATTTCCTCTGATCACAGAGCAAATCCCGATGATGAGACATTTGTTCTTTCAAACAACCCCCCCCCGCTCCAAGGTGTCCTGGTTTTCCCAAATGAAAATATGGTCACCCTACTTTCTACTCCTTACATTTTAAAAAATTGTCTCGTTACTTTAGTTTTGAATCATTTCAATGGAGTTACCGTTATTATTTTTCACGTCATCAATACCAAATTCAATCTAATTGGATGGGAATCTACGTTGCATTTGACGCACCACTACAAGATGAATCGACAGATTCGGCGGTATTCATTGGCGGCAAATCATTGCAGCTTGGTGGCGGTGGCGTTAGCATAGTAGCATGGACGACGAGATGATTGAAAATGAACACAACGGAGATCTAGTCCTATTGGCAGACATCCATTTAAAATGTAGGCAACGGCATGAAAAAAGTGGTTTCTACTTTTACTTTTATACTTTAAGTAAATTTACAAGCCTGTACTTTGTTACTTTTACTTGAGTAAAGAAGTTTAATCAGTACTTCCACTTTTACCAGAGTATTTTTTAACACAAGTATCTGTACTTTTACTCAAGTACGGAAAGTGAGTACTTTTGCCATCTCTGGTCTAACCCCCCATCATGCTGGGTTACAGTTGATTATATCGTCAGTCTGACAGAAATCAGGAAGGTAAACAATGGAGAGCAACTTGAATGAAGCCTGGGTGTAGTCAGTGTGCTTTATAGTTTCTCTCTATTATCGAATGTAAACAGAGTTGTTTTACTTTCTAGATCAGACTAGCGCAGTGTGTTGACGTCCATATTATGCGCACAACGGTATCATGTAAATTAGTGGGTTGACCCGGGTACGGTGTCCCGCAGCATGCCGAATGGAGCCAAACCATTTAAAGGCTACTGTAACGCGAATCAGTTGCCGAGTTGTTTGACCTAAATAGACACGGGTCAGTGAGCCATTCCCACCACCTCTAAAAGACGATTGTTCCCAGTTTAAACAATTTTTTTTTGGCCAGTGGGAAAGTTAAGTCATTTGGAGGTTAGAAATGATGAAGATGTTAATGGCTGTTTGTTTCAGTAAACTTATCACTTATGTTCTTAGCAGATGAGTTGTTCATTTTTTACCGGATATTTCTAAAAAGTACTTAAAGCGGAACACCGTTTTTTTTTACATTGGGTCCTTGATTTTACGTTATTCCATCATGTTCTACTCACCCATATGAGTTTAGTGTCATTTGGAGCCGTTCTGAAGATATTCCGTTAGGTTATATCAAGTAACGTCTTCCTATGGTAACGACTTGAAGGCACAAACTAAACTGTTCATCATTTATTCTTTATGGTACGCCAGCATTCAGAACATGGAGGCCAATCACTGTCTCCCAGACATCCACGGTTATATTTTTTGTATTTATATCTTTTAAAAACAAAGCGGAGCGTGTATGACATCATTCGCGCGCGCCGGCTACCATTCATTCTTCCTGTCCGCTGAACTGCTGCGTTTTCCTCCCATGCCTGGAAGATGTCTAGTGCTGCTACCACAGATGATCTCGCTCTCCAAATGGAATTTAACGATTCAGATTAGCTAGAATGAATAGAAGAGGTAGAGCGTAGCCGGCTGTGGCCCGGTCTGCCTGTCACAACTCCAGTCCGGCGCGCAGAGCCACATGAGGAGTTAGTTTATCGTTACCTTTTCTAACACAGAAAGTATTTATAGATCGTTTTGCCTGTCTGCTTCTGTCTCCTTGAACCCCAGTCGGCCTCAGCAGATGGCCACTCACACTGAGCCTGGTTCTGCTGGAGGTTTCTTCCTGTTCAAAGGGAGTTTTTCCTCTCCACTGTCGCTACAAGCATGCTTAGTGTGAGGGATTGCTTAAGAGTCAACGATGCAATCTGGTGATAGAAAACTTTGAACCAATCTGACTGGATAATCAGGTTGAATTGTCTGTGAAGTGCCTTGAGATGAAATGTGCTGAGTATTGGTGCTCTATAAATAAACTGAGACGCTCTGTGTGCCTTTCTTCTCACCCAGAATTTAGTTCTATTGATTGACGCAAAAACTGCCATTGCTATTAGGTGTAGCACTGGAAAATATCGAAATCTAGATAAGTCATTTTTTCTTAAAATAAATGCATTTGTTTTTGTATTGAAGAGGCACCGGAAAAACGACCTAGAAATAAGTAAAATTTTCATAAATTAAGTGTATTTACCCTTAATATGAGTAGGTAAATGAGACAGTTTGCCAATGGAATGAGTATTTTTACTCTTAAAACAAGATAATTAGATAATATGCACTTGAAATAAGACAATGCAGTTGTTTTTTTGTTTTTTTTTTTAAGTGTAAATTGTCTCGTTCGATTGGCAAAATGTCTCTTTTACCTCCTTAAACCAAGAACAAATGCACTTATTTTGAGGAAAAAAACAACTTATACAGATTTTGATTTTTCCCAGTGGGTAAAAGAGAGATTTTGCCAATGGAACAAGACAGTTTACATTTAAGATAAGAAAATACAATTGCATTGTCTTATTTCAAGTGCATGTTATCTTATTGTTTTATTTTAAGAATAAAAATACTAATTTCATTGGCAAACTATCTCATTTACCTACTCGAATTATGGTTAAATAAACTTAATGAGTTAATATGAGAATAATAATTAAAATAATCCAGGTTTCATAATCATATCTGTCACTAGAAGTATTGTTTAAAGAAAAAAATTGAAAATCCCCTGACAAACATGTGTATGAGTCAGAGGTATTGCTGCATTTCTGGAGGTCTGGAGTCTGACCTCTGACATCCCACTCAACTTATCCCAGTTCGTAAAACCAGGATCCATCCGCGACACACAGATGAGATGTTTCTCCTACCAAAACCTCAGAGACTCAGACCTGAAGTGTTTTATGCCTCTATGTGATTTTGTTGATTTATTGATTCAATGTCAGACAGTGAAGAAACAGGATCATGCACTGCAAAAACGATCTAGAAATAAGTAAAAATTTCTTAAATTAAGTGTATTCACCCTTAATTTGACCAGGTAAATGAGATAGTTTGCCAATGGAATGAGTAATTTTACTCTTACAATAAGATAATTAGATAATATGCACTTGAAATAAGACAATGCAATTGTGTTTTCTTATTTTAAGTTTAAATTGTCTCGTTCCATTGGCAAAATCTCTCTTTTACCTCCTCAATTCAAGAACAAATGCACTTATTTGAGGAAAGAATGACTTATCTAGATTGGCAAATTTAGATTTTTTGCAGTGTGTCTTTATCTGGGCTTGATGTTAATCAAAGACTGACGCTCTGAACGTGATGCAGACGCATGCTGACTCTCTGACTGACCGTGGGCCTGAGCGGCCGAGCTGTGGGAGTAGCCGAGCGCCAGCAGCGCCGTCTCCACCAGCTGGGAGAAGAGAATATCTTTCCTGACGAGGACAAACTCAGCATGCTCCTCTCTTCCCTCGCAGCCATCGCCCTGCAGCCCTCCGTCCGCCTGCTCCACCACACAGAAGACTGGGATCATCAGACCTGTTGAGGAGGACAACAAGTTAGATAAACAAGGACGTTTCCTTCAACGCTTGCATCCGTTTTCGTATTTTTAAGCATTGAAAAACCTTAAATGTGCTTTCATTAAACAGCGATGAAGAGTAAATAACCTTTTCCACTGCTGTTAGAAAAAAACACCATCCAGCTGCTTAACAGCCAATCAGATAAGAGCGACTCCTCTAACAGACATGCAAAACCAATATACAAAACAGCCACCGTGATAAGAGCGGCTGCTCTCATTAGGACATTAATAACCGTTACAAAAGCCATCACTGGTCCGCAGGGCCACAGAAGAAAATCCAAATCTGACCAATCACACTGGAAAAAACGACCTAGAAATAAGTAAAAATGTCTTAAATTAAGTGTATTTATGCTTAATTTGAGCAGGTAAATGAGATAGTTTGCCAATGGACTGAGTATTTTTACTAAAGAACTACTTTAAAATAAGATAATTAGATTATCTGCGCTTGAAATAAGACAATGCATTTTTTCTTATTTTAAACGCAAATTTTCTTGTTCCATTGGCAAAATGTTTACCTCCTAGATCAAAGAACACCCTGCAAAAACGATCTAGAAATAAGTCAAAATGTCTTAAATTCAGTGTATTTATCCTTATTTTAAGTAGGTAAATGAGATAGTGTGCCATTAAAATTTGTATTTTTCCTTTTAAAATAAGATAATTAGATAATATGCACTTGAAATAAGACAATGCAATTGTGTTTTTCCTTTTTTTAAATGTACATTTTCTTGTTCCATTGGCAAAATGTCTATTTTACCTCCTCAATTCAAGAACAAATGTACTTATTTTAAGAAAAAATTACTTATCTAGATTTCGATTTTTTCCAGTGTAGAAATGATCTGGAAAATATCTGAATGTCATACCGACAACATATTGCTCTTTTCCTCAAGTAGGCAGCAAAATGTTTGGTGTGTCTAAGTAAGGAAAGTTTGGATCAAAGCAACAACCTCCAGAGTGTCTGATGACTTCTCAACCCACTGCTACAGACGCAGACAACCATTGCTTTGACTAGGGCAGGGGTCTGCAACCTTTCATATCCAAAGAGCCATTTTGCTCTGAGTCTGACCTCTTTAGAGCCGCAAAGTAGATGACATTTTAGAAAAACAATTTGTTTTTTTTATTATCTAGTATAGGAAATTAGTTGCCATCTTAAACAACCAACAATGTATGTATTTTATCTTTTAAAATAATATTAAAACACATAAATTCCAAGCTAATTAAAAGGAAAGTGACTCTAAAAACATATTTCTGGTTCTTTTAATGTCCTTCTTATCCATCTTATAAAAAACACTAAAGCTTTTAAGACTGGTATTTATTTTGTAGTACATTATTTAGGTCTTTATATACATTTTAGCCACTTTATGAGCCGCTGCAGAGGGTCCAAAGAGCCACATGTGGCTCTGGAGCCATAGGTTGCAGACCTTTGGACTAGGCCATTCTAACAGGGGAACAAACCATTTTACTGTAGATTCCAAGTGTAGATAAATTAAACTTAGGCCCCGTCCACATGAAGTCAAAACGAACACGAAACGCTAATATTTTCCAGAACGTTTGTCGTAAAGACAGAGACGTAAAATAAATGTGATCGTCCACACGAATGCATGAAAACGCTACAAAATATATGCCAGGCCTGTAAGTGGCGCTGTGGTGACAAAGCAAAAATAGGCGAAAACAGGCAACGAAATGTTGGGCATGCGCAGTAATATTTATACAACAACCAAACCGGAAAACCGCTCTGTTCTTCCTGGAGATATTCCAGAAGAAGAAGATTCTGTTGTAAGCCCGACAGCAGGGTGAGTAGCATGAGCAGCAACCATTCAACACAGTACGGCGCCATTGTTGTTGTGATACTGTGTCACGCATGCGTGTTTAGAGGCGACGCTATGACGCATGCGTGTAAGAAAAAAAATGCCGTTAGAGCTTAAAGATGGAAACGCGAAAACGGCGTTTCAAAATCTTCCCACTCTGAAGGCTGAATAAAAAAAAGATAGTTTACAGACCCCCGAAACGCCGGCTTCGTGTGGATGAGAGGCTGGTTTGGTGAAAAATTTGTGAATTTAGGCCAGGGTTTGACTTCGTGTGGACGGGGCCTTAATCCTGAACAGAGTCCCTGGTACTGGTGAAGGAAAGCATCCCACAGCATAATGCTCCCACCGTTGTGTCTGCATGTGGATGAAAGCTGGTCTTAATCAGAACACCTTCTCTGCTGTGGTCAAGCTTCTAATGGTTTTCTTTGCACAAAGTCCTTCTAAGAACAGAACCTAAATAGTTGCTTTGTTCCTTCCACTCCCCTGCAAAAGCCCTGTGTGTATTTAGCTGATCCTGTTTAACTTATCCTGTTGATTTAATTTATCCTACCTGAGCAGCAGACCTCTGCAGCACCTTCACAGTCAACATAGGCCTCTTAAGCTGCAAAAACAATCTAGAAATAAGTTAAAATGTCTTGAATTAAGTGTATTAACCCTCAATTTGAGTAGGTAAATAAGATGATTTGCCAATGGAATGAGTATTTTTACTCTTACAATAAGGTAATTAGATAATGTGCACTTGAAATAAGACAATGAAACATTTTATTTGTTATTTTTTATTTTGAATGTAAATTGTCTTGTTCCATTGACAAAGTGTTTCAATTTCCTCCTCAATTCAAGAAAAAATGCACTTATTTTTTTTTTAAATTACTTATTTAGATTTAGATTTTTTCCAGTGTCACTGCACTGCAAAAAACAATTGAGAAATAAGTAAAAATGTCCTAAATAAAATGTATTTACATTTAACTTGAGCAGGTAAATAAGATGATTTGCCAATGGAATGAGTGTTTTTACTCTTAAAATAAGATAATAAGTCATTATGCACTTGAAATAAGGTAATGCAATTGATTTTTCTTATTTTGAATGTAAATTGTCTTGTTCCATTAGCAAAGTGTCCTACTTTCCTCCTCAATTCAATCAAAAATGCACCAATTTTAAGAAAAAAATTACTTACTTGGGTTTCTATTTTTAAGTGTGACAACTTTCAACATATTCTGATTATCAGTTCGTATGAAATCGTACGAAAAGTTATGCACACTATTTTGTACGTTTTGGACGTTTTTCCTCAAAAAAACACATCAGTGCGCTGCGCATGCGCTGGCAGAAAAAAAAAGGTGATCCGCGGACGGACGTAAAAATGGGAAAAACAGTGCAAGAATCACTTATTCATGTCTCTAACTGCGTTGCTTGCTGTTTTATATCTTAGGGTTAGGGTTAGGGTTAGGGCTAATGGTAATTTATATTCTAGATTCGTGAATGCTGCGTCAGATGCGCATACGACGAAAAAAACGTCCAAAATGTACGAAATTACGGTGCATAACTTTTCGTACGATTTCATACGAACTCATAATGAGAATACACTGCAACTTGGCACTCAAAGAAATAGAAATCTAAATGAGGCATTTTTTCTTAAAATAAGGGCATTTTTTCTTAATTTACGGAGGTAAGGGAGACACTTTGCCAATGGAACTATTATTTTGCCAAAGTTTTGCAATGTGCTTAGACAGAGACATTGTTTTAGAGCCTTTCTCTGCTTTAAAGTTGTCATTTGTCCTTCAGCAAACCTCTGGTTCCCCCAGACGACCTGTTTAATGCTGTGACTGGGTGACCTCTGAGGACGGGGACTTTGTTCAAAATGAATCGCAATTATTTTACTTTAGCAACATATTTTCCCTTTAGGTTGAAAACCATTCAATCCTTTGTTTGGAAAGTGGAACAGCTGAAGTGCAATGAAGATAGAGGAGAAACCTGCCTGTTCCTCCTGGGCTTTGCTCCCTGTACGGATCTAAATCCAGATATTCCTCTTCTTTGCTCTCTCTCCAGTCTGGACCTTTTTCCTGAAAGGATTTTTTTTTTTTGGGCCACGTGTCAACTTGCAATTATTTAAAGTCCCCTGAAGAAATGATGCACTGGGAGCATTAGGCAGCGTCCCAGCTCTAATAATACAGTGTTTCTATTTTACCGTATGGCCAGCAAACCCACCCACATGGCCACACACACACACTAACACAGCATCAGGACCCCCCTCCCCCCACAGACCCTGATCCATCTCCTCCATTGTTTTAATCAGTCAATTCCGATATTTCTATTTCCTCCTCATTAATCACTCGGCTCCCAATCCTCCAGGCTCTCATGGAGTGAATTACACACTGGAGGACCGAGCCAATTGAAGTAAGTGAATTTTCCCCAACAGGGAAATATAACTGTCAACACGGAGCAGCTTTCTGCGACCGGCGCTCCTCTCCCTCCGTCTCCAGAGCAGCCTGTCTTCTCCGGCATCTTGTGAGTGGATGATCTGGTTTGGATGATGTGATGTTTCCTCAAAACCTCTAATCCCTCTAATATGATTGAATGGTGATATTAAAATAAGATCTGTGTGTTTTGGCAGGTTCTGAGTGTTGCAGCGTACTAAAGCTCGCATGCACTTCGGTGGCGCAGCCTACATGTGTGCGTTTGGCCCCCATCCTTGCAGCAGCAGTGCGGTTTTGGGGGCGACACATGGAGTTTCCTGTGTTCAAAGTCAACCCGTCATTATAACAAGCCAGGCTTCCTCTGAGCGCAGGAAACGCCGTCCTTCTCCCTCACAAGCCATCCTCCATCCACATCTTCTTCTTCTTCTTAGCGTGTTATCGTTCATTCTGTCGTTTCCCAGCGGTCGGACCTGACCCTCCAGCTGATTTGTTAACTCTTCTTAACCACAGAAGGATTGTCTTCACAAACTCTTCAAACCCACAGAAACGGTTTTGTTTTGCTCAAACAAAATAGAAAAAAAAAGATCTAATGTTGGAATATTCCAGCATAAATTTGAAACAAACCACATAACGTCAAATAAATTGATCGGTTTTCATCATTGTGCTGCACGTTTAAAAATGAGCTCTATGAAAAGGCTTTAGTCAAAATTTCCAGAAAGCAGCCATAAAAGAAAACCTTCTATGTCCCTTTTTTACAGCAAGACATAACTGCCAATAGAGACACTAAAATATGACATCTTTTCTTAACTGGGGCATAAATTAATCCAGGATATTACCAGACATTTTTCTTTCAAATGCATCCGAATGGAAAAAAAAAAATCACATTGGAAAATCTTTCACAGACACTCAGAACTCTTTTTTTTTTATTGAACCTCTAACACCAGTAGGACTTTGATCTGCTGAAGAAATTCTGCAAAAAAATTTTAACAACAACCTGTTTTACAATATAAGCTACGTTATTTGTAGACATAAAGGCTGTGATGCTACATGTAGCACCAAAACCCAAACATGCAGACATTAAAAAAAAAACACATAATCGTCTGCGTATGAGATCACCTGCATGATTTGATCTTAAGCAGCTCAGTAATGCTGAAGTGGCCATTTGTTTTCTTTACCAGAGTGGAAAATATTTCAGTCCGGCAAATATGGAAAGCCATGAGGGTCACAAAGTGTGCATGAAACCGCAATGTCTGGCAGAGACTTTTAGACTCTAAATAGGCTCTTAGAAACTTACTGAACACCTCAGGTGTCAAACGGGTGCTGAGGAAAAATACCGATTAGAACCAGAGGATGTTTTCCCGTTTCATGCTAGGAAGTTAATAGGAATCTTGTTTTGATACTGTTAGCTTGCTAGCCAGCTAGCTAGCAAGAGTACAACGTTTTTTTACCTTTAAAAACTTAAAACATCAAAATATCTGCTTGAAATGTGAAATTTAAGATAAAAATCATAGACGTGTTTTGACTTTTCTGTTTCATAAGATTTTCCTTGCTAACTTCTGTGCTAATTGTGGAGGCTGCTCCAACCAATGACGTTATTACTCAGGGTTAGCGTCTTGTGAATGTTGTCTCTGCAGCGTGGTTTGGCGTTATACGGTAACAGCTAGGGGTGTAAATCACATCCATCATGGCGATTCGATTCAGTATCGATTTCCTGACCCAACGATTCGATTATTTTCGATACTCAAGAATACCACGATTCGATTCGATTTGATTAATCGATTAAATTAATCGGTTAAATTTTTTTTTTTTTTTTTTTTTTTTTTTTTTTTTTTTTTTACACCTTAGAGGCTAAACAAAGTTTCAAGTTTGGAATAAATCAATGAAAGCTGTAATATCATTATGAATTTTCTTTGGAAACAACAGCAAATAACAGAAGTAGAAAAGTTGCATCAAAAAATACTGCAAAAATACTGCACAATATCAGTGTAATGAGTTCAATGCAATACCTCGGCTCCAGAGAAACTGTCCAACATATTTTTTTAGAATGTAATAAATATACTCAGGAAAGAGAGATGTTGCGTAGAGAGTTAGACAGGAATAAAAATAAACTAGATATAAGGGAATTGTTTCAAAGGTTATCTGGGGATGTAGTTTTTGGGAGTATTTTGAATTTTCTACGAAGAACAGGTATTTTAGGGAGAATATAATAGTTTGTCTGGTCCATACTCCATTCTGACCGCTGTTAGCTGACCGCAGACAGCGCAGCAGACAGGAGGCCGGCTTGTTTTGTTTTTATGACCGAAATTGCGGAAAACAACTAGTGAAGTTTGACCCGCTAGAAGAGCGAGGTGCGTGAGAACGCTGGGACCCTTTTTCCACCTGGATCTCCGCCCTTTTTGGCCCTCATGTCCCTCCGTCGTCGGACTAAACTCGCCCCCACTTCTTCGCTGCCTCGGCCGTATCTAGACCCACAGCGTGTAGCTCAGACCACGCTTCAATACTGAGCATAATTTAAAAATGTCTGCATCAGGCTCACTGCAACACACTGCTGTAAGAGTATAACCAGGAAGCGAGGTAGGAGGGCAAAATAGGTTTAGCGCCACCGCAGCACGGGAGGAGAATTACGCCCAGGAGCAAATGGATAAAAATAGACTGGAGGAAAAAAAAAAAAAACATGGATCGATGCATCGATACAAAACGAATATTATTTACACCCCTAGTAACAGCCATTCAAAATGGCCCTTCCCAGTGAAACGCCAGCAGAATCGCAGCCCACTTCCCTGCAGCTCCAAGAAAAATCCCCTCCAACTTCCAGCCACTGGCCTTTTCCTGCGTGCAGTGGCCAAGGGGTGGCCACGGCCACACTGTTCAATGCCCACCCCACTCACCAGTGTAAATTGTAGTAGCATCAGCTTAGCATTTCATCCCATTATGCACAGCCAGCGACGTAACATTAAAAAACCAAGATATGAGGAGGTGTTTACTGAAGTCTTTATGATTTCTACAGGCAGGTTTAACACAATAGTAGATTAAAACCTGGAAATTGTGGCTTTTAGTTTCAGTGGCCACCCAAAGATTTTTAGTAGCCCCATCTGGCCCCTCAATGAAACATTTCTGAAGGCACCACTGCCTGGATGGCATATTGTTTTACTCTGATTTCACTGAATTACAGGGTTTAGCCAGGAGATGACGCTTCTCTTTAGATCTTAATGTCCACAAATCATGAGAGAAAGAATATTTTAGTATAAAGATTTATGTTTAAAAAGGAATTGTAGGGGACCAGCCAAGGGCCCATCAAGGAAAGTGGGGGGATTCTCGATAGCTACTACTGTAGATCTGTCTTTGGGAGGCTTAGTTTTCAGTTAAAGAATGACAATAAACCTAGCTGTACTATGTGTGTGCCATCATGTGCCTTCATTTATGTCTTAAAGCTAATGTTTGGAGAATGAGCCTCACACTGACCACAGATGACCAATTCTTCAAACTTTCTGACGTATTTTTTCCAAATTAAAAGTTGCTGGACATTAAATCCCTGAGAAAGGTTGCCTGTGTTTCTACCAACAAAGCTCTCCAGGTCGTTCTTCATTAATGCAGCTAAAGCTGGTGATATGCTAAGGGAATTGACGTGATGGCTGTTGCTGTATGGAGACAATCTCCCATCTCACCATCATATTGATGCATTTCTGTATCAATATGTTCCTGGGCTGGTATGTTTAAGACGTAACCAACGTCAAGGTCACTGGAAACACAACATAGCAACCAAGAGGAAACAACTTTCACAGCTAATGCGGGGATCGATAATCCAGAGTGACTTGTATAAATCTTGTTTATATGGAGCAATCTCCTTTATTTGGTAAGGCTGTGTTATACAGTTCCCTCCTGACTTATAGATTAACAGCTCAAGGCTCTCAGCTCTACAGCGTGGAACAGGGAGCCAAACTCAGCCCATGTGGCTCCCAGCTCAGCCAGCGACTGTCTGTGGGTTTGGAGAACAACACTGCTAAAGCCTTCTGGCAGAAAGAAAGGATCTAAAAACCATCATGCAGTGTTTCAATCATTTACGACACTTCTTCTTTAAATTTATGTTGTTGTAAGTCACCAATTTAAAGTATTTGAATGTAGAAAAAACACATGATTACCACTTGATTGCATTTCTCTGTGAGTTTTCTGGTTACCTCCTAGGGGCCGAGATGGGGCTCCATTGTGGCGACTTCGTGGGCCTGTGGGGCTCCCGTTGAGCTCCAGTCGGCTCTTCTTTCCTGGTGGTGGGAGACCGCTGAGGTCTGGGCTGCCTCCCCTCCGCTCAGGACTACCTTGGGCGACAGGACTCTCCCCGCCTCGCTCCATCCTCCTCCACACCCCCAATGGAGCTCCAGTCAGAGAGAAAGAGTCTGAAGAGTTTTCAAAGCGGAAAAGAAAGGAATCAGGAAACCAGATCTGACACAAAATATTTTTAAAGTCATGATTTCATTCAATAAGATTTAGATTAAAGCAAAAACCATTTAAAAACTTCCTATCACCTTTTGATGAAATATGCAAACAGATTATGAAAGAAATCCAGACCAACACTGCAAAAAATATAAATCTAGATAAGTCATTTTTTCTTAACATAAGTGCATTTGTTCTTGGATTGAGGCGGTAAAGAGACATTTTGCCAATGGAACAAGACAATTTACACTTAAAATAAGAAAACTCAATTGCATTGTATTATTTCAAGTGCATATTATCTAAATATCTTGTTTTAAGAGTAAAAACACTAATTCCATTGGCAAATTATCTAATTTACCAACTCAAATTAAGGGTAAATACACTTAATTTAAGAAATTTTTACTTATTTCTAGATCGTTTTTCCAGTGAACACGGCAAAAAATGTAAAGATAAGTAATTTTTTCTTAAACTAATAGCATTCTTTTCTTCAATTAAGCAGGTAGGTGAGACACTTTGTCAATGGAACAAGACAATTTACTTATAAAATAAGAAAGAAAACAACTGCAGTCGCTTATTTCAAGTGCATGATATCTAATTATCTTAAAATACTCATTTCATTAGCCAATCATCTTATTTACTAGGTCAAACTGAGGGTAAATACAATTATTTTTAGACATTTCTACAAATGTATAGATCATGTTTGCATTGAACTCATTTTATTTTGTGCATACTCTTTAAATATTCTCTTTAAACATGTTGGGAGCTGGAGAAATACACCTTTTCTCCAGGAGAGTCCGCCCTGGATCCTCCCTGCTGAGCTGCTCTGCACACCTGCAGCTGATGATTTCATCTGGAGGACCTGGACTACTTAAGCTGCCTTCAGACCTTGCCTCGACGCCGCAGTGTCTTAATCAGTTGGTTAGCACTTAAGCCATAGATCCCTAGTGAACCAAGTCTCCTTTGAGTCCAACCTGGATTCTAACCCTTTTGTCTCTGCTTCCAGGTTTCCTGTTCTTTCTCCTGTGAAGCTCTGCAAGAGCTTAACCTGCCGAGCCAGCCCTCCGAGCCAAACCTGAAGACTCACTCTCTGGATTTCCTAGCAGCTCTGGATACCGAGCTGGAAACACAAGCCAAGGTCAAAACAGCCTTTAGAAGTAAGACGCTGAAACAGCTTAAGGACTCTGCCAACCCAAGCTTTCTCCGGACCCAACAATTCCGCTCCCAAAGCCTCCTCTACGTTCATCAAGGTACAAACCTGAACACAATCAGTCAAGTCTCAACCAAGCCTTCGCTAACCAAACTGTCTTTCTCACAGACGCCAGTGAACCGGTCCCAGCCCAGAACCATTGCATCAGTCTTTATTATATGTGTGAATTTGCCAATAAACTCTGTTAAACTTTCCATCCGTGTCGTCAGTCTTCTGCATATTGGGCCTCCCTGATACCCATCATGACAAAACATGCTTCCTTAGCTACGAGTTCATATCAAATATGCGGCAAATTTAATTGATATTCGGATAATGTAAAAAAAAACACAATTTCACAATTAATAAGACATGTGATCAAAATTAAATGTGAAATAAATTTGTTAAACCAATAATGGATGTAAAAAACCTGCTGCTCCATCATCCTCTCACTACTTCCCATTGTTTTGTCGTTCCTCCCAGTAGTAACATGTACAGTGCTGAACGTAATGCGAAAAAACATTTATTTCGATAACTACACTCTGAGCAGTACACTGGAAACGCAGCTATTGATACAGAATTTCTGCATCAAGCGACACAAAAATAACATCGCTTCTTCTCATGCTGCACCATGCAGACGCTCCATCTGCACTGATAAAGATTGACTCACCTCAGAGGCTAAACTTTGACCAGTTCTAACTGACAGCAGACGAAACTATTCTCTGATTTACTCTGGAGAGCATTGCTTATAATATTTATGGTAAAATCAGTAGGTAAAGGGAATTGTTGGCCTGGCTGAATGGGCAAGGTCTTCTGTTCCCCTGTAAAGGGGTTGCGATGATAGCGGGAAGGAACCACCTTAATTGCTGCATTGTAGGTTTTTCAAAGATGAAATCTGAGTCCAATTGAGTTGAATTGAATTGAAAAACTTCCTGGATGTGAAATGAAACCTCTTCAAACTTGGAAACAAAGTCCAGCGGATTGTTTTTTAACCTTTTTCGGAAAAACCTCAGCTGCTCTTCAGGTTTTAAAAGTTCGACTTAGACAGATTTATTTGTCGTTTTGTTTACACAAATTTAAAACAAAAAGAAATTTCGTTTAGAACAGCTCTCTGGACAGTTTCATTTTTTTTAAACTGCAAAACAAAACAATAGTTAAAAAAAAATCTGAATTTACTGACTGGTTTAATCGATTACATGTTTGTTGTGAGCTAGTTTTTTGTGTTTGTTTTATTATTGTTGGAAACTTCATAAAAATGTAAGTTCAGACTGATACACTGGAAAAAATCAACAAATTGATAAGTCATTTTTTCTTAAAATATGTGCATTCGTTCTTAGATTGAGGAGGTAAAAGAGACATTTTGCCAATGGAACAAGACAATTTACAATTGAAATAAGAAAACACAACTGCATTGTCTTATTTCAAGTACATATTTTCTAATTATCTTATTTTAAGAGTGAAAATCCTCATTCCATTGGCAAATTATCTCCTTTACCTACTCAGATTAAAGATAAATACACTTAATTTAAGACATTTTCACTTATTTCTAGATAATTTTTCCAGTGTAAATGTTGCAACAATCCTGAATTCTTTCCAACATTAACATTAACCATCTGATTGGCTAAAAGTTTCCCTGCATAAAACACCAAGCAGGTTTGACTCAGTGGGAAAAAAAGTCATTGCTAAATGTAACCACAGCATTTGGTTTGATGTGGGACTCAGAGATGTGTCAAACTCGAGGCCCCTGGACCAAATCTAAACCGTCACAGTAATAAATCGGGCCCCCACTGGGCCCTCATTTAATCACTATAAAAATGTACTTTTTTTTTTTAAACTGTTTATTCCCCCTTATTTGAACAAAAAGTAGGACATTTTATTAAAAGAAATGGATTATCTACATTTAAAATACAAAAAATGACTCCATTATCTTATTTTAAAGGGGACCTCCGTTTTTTTACATTGGGCCCTTGTTTTTACGTTATTACATCATGTTCTACTCACCTATAACAGTTTAGTGTCATTTGGACCCTATGGGCAACGAGTTGACGGCTCAAACTAAACTGTTCATAATTTATTCTTTATGGTACGCCAGCATTCAGAACATGTAGGCCAATCACTGTCCCCCAGACATCCGCCGTTATATTTTTTATATTTATATCTTTTAAAAACAAAGCGGAGTGTGTATGGGTGAGTAGAACATGATGGAATAACGTAAAATCAAGGGCCCAATGTAAAAGAAACGGCATTCCCCTTTAAGTGTCTAATATCTAAATACCTTATATTAAGTCCAAAAATACTCCTGCGGCCGATGAAGAAGTGAACAGAAGTTTCAAAAAGGAACCTTTTTCAATTCAAAATGTCAGAAATAGTTCCAGGCTTTATACCAAACAAAGCCTTGTTTTTGTTTTGAAACAGCCAGAAAAGAGCTTCCTGGATGGGAAGCAAAACGTCTTCAAATGTGGAAACAAAGTCCAGTGGATTGTTTTTAACTTTTTTGGATTGACTCTGACCTGGATGACTGAGAATCTTCACCATTTTAAAGGAGCAGAAGGAAACGTTGCTCAGAAAGAATCAGGACAGGTTCAGTACCGACCGGGTGAACGGTACCAGAAGCAAAGCAGAACCTCAGTTCCCAAATCTCTGCTTCTGAACCAAAGGCGGAAGCGACCCAGATGTTGGTCGGACAGTTAATGACTGGCATAGAGACACACTTTTAGAAATAGTTGTACTTTACTGTACTTTTACTTTATTAACGTTCTTGTGAGAATAAAGCTGCTCTTACTGTATGCGAGTTGAATTCCTGGTTATTTAACCCACCACAGGTAATTGATCTGCTCAGAGATCAGGTGATTAATTCATCAAAGCTGGACGTTCTTTTCCTATCCTGACATGTATTTATTTCCCACTGTAAAGACTGGATTTATAAATCTATGTTGAATAAAACTGATTTGGAAGATGTGTTCTCTTATTTATTTATTTTGTAATTCAGATTTGAATCCCCAGAATTTGGACAGTACATAATTTTAAACATTAAATCAGATGTGATCAGCAGAGCTGTCAAGTTAGAAAGTACAAATACTTTATTACTTTAAGTAAGTAGAAACGTTGGCTATCTATACTTTACTGAAGGAATTATGTATTTTTAGACAACTTTTTACTTTCTACTCTTTACATTTTTAAATATAGACTTATTCGTTTGTTTCATTTAAGCCCATTTTCATGGCCTGTTGGTATTTTAAAAAAAATTATAATAATAATCAAAATAATTACTTTCATCCAGACAATTCAACCCTTTGTGGTTGAATTCGGTGCTGCCCCAACTTGTTGTTCACCACATACTAAATTCTCATCTTTGTTGGTTCCTCTGGCAGCTCTGCAAACTAATGAACTGAAAAAATTTAAATCTACTGTAAGTATTTTGTTTCTTAAAATAAGATCATTTTTTCTTGACTTGAGGTAAGTCAGAGTTTTTTTTTTTGTAATGGTACAAGACCATTTACATTTCAAATAAGAATAAAACAATTGCATGGTCTTATTTCAAGGGCATATTATATAATTATCTTATTTTAGGGGTAGAAATGTTCATTCAATTTTCCTACTCAAATTAAGGGTAAATACTCTTAATTTCTACTCATTTTCAGAAGGTTTTTGCAGTGTGTAGATGTGTTATAATAACTCTACACTGGAAAAACGATCTAGAAATAAGTATAAATTAGTTAAATTAAGTGTATTCACCCTTAAATTGAGTAGGTTATTAAGATAGTCTGCCAATAGAATGAG